TGCCAAATAATTTGAAAAAGAACAATGTGATTCCTTGGAACTACATTGTAATAATATCTATAAAATAAATGCATTTATAAATACATGTTTTATTTTATAAACATATAGCTGAATATCCACATTTCTATATATTATTAATATAATATATTGTATTCATATTTAATATTTTTTATATTTGCATTAAATATTTCTGTATTTATTTCATAGGACATTTACCAAAGACAAACAACATGGTTTTGCTCTTTGTTGCTGGGAGAAATGCAACATTTCTATTGGTATGTGATATTTACAGTTGTGCTTGAAAATGCACATGCCCTGCCATTAAAGAAAATGTTAAATTCACACTAATAATTCAAATAGAAAAATGAAAACATGCAATAATAAATAAAAACTGACTAAATTATATTTTTGTAAAGTAAAATATAGATTTTTAACAAGTTTTCTAAAAGTGGGATCTCTGAGTGATCCAATGTTGACCTAAAGGATTATAAATAGAATCCATGTTTGTGTAATCAAGTCTCCGTATAAATGCACCTGCTGTCAGATAGTCTCAGAGGTCTGTTTAAAGTGCAGAGGGCATCATGAAGAATAAGGAACACACCAGGCATTCCCGAGATACTGTTGTGGAGAAGGTTAAAGCTTCTAAATTTGGATACAAAAAGATTTCCCAAGATTTAAACATCCCAAGGAGAAATGTGCATGCGTTAATATTGAAATGGAAGGAGTATCAGACCACTGTAAATCTACAAAAACCCGACTATCCCTCTAAACTTTTAGCTCATGATCAGAGATGCAGGCCTATGATCACTGTGGATGAACTGCAGAGAGCTACAACTGAGGTGGGAGACTCTGTCATAGGACACCATTCAGTTGTACAGTATACTGCACAAACCTGGCCTTCATGGAAGAAAACTATTTCTTAAAGATATCCATAAAAAGTCTTGTTTAAAATTTGCAAAAAGCTTCCTGGGAGGCAATGCGAACATGTGGAAGAAGGTGACCTGGTCAGATGAAATCAAAGCTGAACATTTGGTAACAATGTAAAAATTTAAGTTTCATGTAAAGCAACACAGCACATCACCCTGAACACACCATCCCCCCTGTCAGACATGGTGGTGGCAGCTTCATGATTCGGGCCTGCTTTTCTCCAGCAGGGACAGGGAAGATTGATGGGTAGATTGATACTCATACTAAATAACTGGTAAAGAGTCCTCCAGTTCATATTCATAAAAAAAAGTTAAAAATAAACCACTGGACATTGTTTTTAAAGTTTGAAGACTTGATGGGAAGCGAAACGTCTTCAAACTTGGAAAACAAACTCCAGTGGTTTGTTTTTATCTTTTTTCTGGGACATACTCATAACCTTTGTTTTTGTTTTTGTTTTTGAACTACAAACTTCCCTCCACGAAAAGGTTATTTTTAAAACGTTCATTTTTAAGGAGCATAAAAGGACATACGCCACAAAACGAGATTAAAGGGAAAAAAACAAAAACAAAATAAACCTTTGTAACGTACAGAAGAGGATTAGGGCCACTGAAATTTTTTTTTAAGTTAATTGTTTTCTAAATTTTATTTCAGTATAATATGAGAAAAAAAAATCAGAATTCTCACTTTAATCTCAGAAGTCTGACTTTTTTCCTCACAATTCTGACTTTAATATCAGAATTCAGGATCTTACGTAATGTAGATGGGCACCATGAAGGAAGAGATGTGGGAGCACTCAGCATCACTGACAAAGATGTGAGTTGTTTGGGAGGAACAGTAACACAATGGTGGAAAATGACGGAATTAGGCAACTTTTTACGTGCTTGAGCGGTGCCCAGTGATACTATTTCATTAGTGGAAGAGCAGAAGGTGATTACAGTTTTTCTCGATTGTTTACACACAAATATTGGTACTTGAAACACAATGACCACAAAATGTAACTCATGCACCAACCCCCTGAACCAATTCTGCTAAACTACAAGCACAATTCCTGCTTTACACTCAAATTGCAGTTCTAAAACACACTTTTTCCAAAACTCTACACACAATTGTCATGAAGAAAATCTTTTGTTTTCACAAGGAACACACTGTTATTCAAAACTCTAAAGTTAATTTCCCTACTATGCACACTGACTCCTCACATGGGCAAACACCTAACACACATGTTTCCACTCAGCAATCAGAGCTTTAGCATAGAAGGGCAACAGGTGAGCTCTTCTGTTTTGGAGCAATGGAGGCCAATGTTGTAAACAGAGGCAGAGCCAGAGCCAGAGGAGTGAGAGTAAGAGGAGGACGATGGGGAGGACGAGGAAGGCCAAGGACAATCATTTCTGATGAGATCCGAGCAACTTTGGTTGACCATGTGGTCAACCATGGCCTAACAATGAGGGAGGCTGGGCAAAGAGTACAGCCAAATTTGAGCAGGTACACTGTAGCATCCATCATCCGGACTTTCCGCAATGAGAATAGGTAAGAAATCTACTCTCACTACAAAACTGCAGTACTGCATATCAATACAGTACTCAATGAGTACAGTAGTACAGTATTACCTGTGGACTGTTCTGTAGGACATTGTGTTTCGAGTATTTGGGAAATGTATTCCTACACAGTATTTACAGTATTGCACTCTTTGTATTGCAGAACTGAAAGATTACCAACAAGAGGTGGACGGGGCCGTCTTCTGTCTCCTGAACAGGAAACAGAGATCATGAACATGGTTCTTGAAAATAATGCCATTACCTTACGGCAAATACAAAGAAAAATAATAGAAAACAATGAGATATTTCAAAATATTGATAGGGTAAGTTTATCAACGCTGGACCGTGTCTTGCACAGAAATAAACTGAGGATGAAGCAGGTCTACAGGGTGCCATTTGAGCGCAATTCAGAAAGGGTCAAAGAATTGCGATATAACTATGTGCAAGTACGTCCTATACAGTACATTCCCACCTTTGATGCATACTGTCAACATTGTATAAATCATACATATTTCTTTCTATTATATTGTAATCATAATGATTGTGCTTCACAATAGAGACCGCTCCATGTCTACTTCTGATATTGTCATGTGTGTTTCAGAGAGTCCTTGAGCTGGAGGTGGATGCAGTGGAGCACCAGTTCTTCTTCATTGATGAGGTTGGATTCAACCTCACAAAAAGACGAAGGAGGGGAAGGAATATAATCGGCCAGCGTGCCATTGTTGGAGTCCCTGGCCAGCGCGGAGGGAACATCACAATGTGTGCAGCGATGACCGACCATGGCATCATCCATCACCATGCTACCCTTGGCCCCTACAACACTGCCCATCTGATCACATTCCTGGACACCCTACACAACACACTCATTCCACCAGATCAGATAGACGGCCCAGAGCAGCTCAGGTACGTTGTCATTTGGGACAACGTAAGCTTCCACCGGGCTGCTCTGGTTCATAACTGGTTCACTGACCACCCACGCTTTTCAGTTGTTTATCTCCCTCCATATTCTCCATTCCTCAATCCTATTGAGGAATTTTTTTCTGCCTGGAGATGGAAAGTGTACGACCTAAATTCAGAAACGCGTATACCCCTTTTCCAAGCTATGGAAGACGCATGTGGAGATATAGCAGTTGATGCTTTTCATGGCTGGATTCGCCATGCTAGGCGATATTTCCCCCGCTGCTTGGCCAGGGAAAACATTGCTTGTGATGTAGATGAGGTGCTGTGGCCAGACCGAAACAGAAGAGAGGATGCAGCATAGTTTATTTTGTTTTGTTGTTTTTATTATTACTGTAACTGTATACAGTAAAATCTTCTGCACTGTATGTGCAACTTTTTGTCAGTTGGGATGTACACTGTGTACATTGTTTTGTGGGAAAAATAAAACATGTTTGTTACAGTATATTTGTGTGTTCTGAGTATAAAAACAATATTCTAAAATATTTTACAACGCACTTATGTATTTAATGTCTGTAGTAAGTGTAACACTGAACAAAAAGTCATTATGATGAATGGAGAATGGTGTTTTACACTGAGCACATCAGTGTTTAAATGCTTTTTTTAATTGTCTGTTCATATGATAGTTTGTGTGTGTCATCTGAACACAAAATGGACATAAAACAGACATGGCTATGGCTTGATGCTAACATGTTTATTAGCTGTAAGAATTCAGATCAAATTCAGAATACTGAGAAAAAAAAGTCAGAATACTGAGATTAAAGTAAGAATTATGAGAAAAAAGTCAGAATACTAAGGATAAAGTCAGAATTCTGAGAAAAAAGTCAGAATTTTGAGATTAGAGTCAGAATTCTGAGATTAAAGTAAGAATTACGAAAAAAACGTCAGATTTCTGAGAAAAAAGTCGGAATTCTGAGGTTAAAGTCAGAATTCTGATTAAAGTCAGAATTCTGAAAAAATAAAAAGTCAGAATTCTGGGAAAAAAGTCTGAATTCTGAGATTAAAGTCAGAATTCTGAGAAAAATTTCAGAATTCTGAGATTAAAGTAAGAATTCTGAGAAAAAAGTCAGAATACTGAGGATAAAGTTAGAATTATGAGAAAAAAGTCAGAATTCTGAGATTTAAGTCAGAATTCTGAGAAAAAAAGTCTGAATTTTGAGATTAGAGTCAGAATTCTGAGTTTAAAGTTAGAATTATGAGAAAAAAGCCAGAATTCTGATTAAAGTCAGAATTCTGAAAAAATAAAAAGTCAGAATTCTGAGATTAAAGTCAGAATTCTGGGAAAAATGTCAGTATTCTGAGATTAAAGTAAGAATTATGAGAAAAAAGTCAGAATTATGAGATTAATGTCAGAAAACTGAGATTAAAGTCAGAATTATCAGATTAAAGTAAGAATTATGAGAAAAAAGTCAGAATACTGAGATGAAAGTCAGGATTCTGACTTTTTTTTCTCATATTATATAAAATTAAAAAATGAGTTAATTTTTTTTTTTTTCAGTGGCCCTAATCCTCTTCCGTAGTAACGTTATTGGAGCGAGCCCTTCCTTCTGGCGCCTGTCTGAGTCTGATCCACTCCGGGTTTTCGCTCATACTCAAAGGCGAGCTGTCGGCCCAGCGCTGAGACCTTGGGCTGCGTTCGTCTGCTGTTCGGGAGAACGGGGCAGCCCTCAATGGATTGACATAATAGGGATTTACATTTCAACTCAGCGTCGTGCTCCAGAAATGCTTTAAACGGTAGCGGGGCTGGGAAAGCGGCGGTGCCCGAACCTCTGCTTGTCCGTGCTGGTATCATGCCCATGCATTACAGCCTGGAGGAGATTGAACCAAGCAGCCGTCTATATTTACCGAGCAGGGAAACCAATACAGGTCTCACTGGAGCGATTATTTGCGGTCCAGGCAGTCCAACTCTCCCTCTCTGCTGTCTCTGCGGTATGTAAACCATTTCGGTGCGTTAGGGTGTAAATAAAAAAGAAGAAGAAAACGCAATAGGCAGGCAGCGTTTAGGAAAAGCCAGACGCGCATTGCTTTGTGTAATTTAAATGACAGCGGTCAAGTGCAGAAATAATAATAAAGCGCGTCGCTGAGGGCGGTTTTTACACGATAATAACCCTGTCTTCCGCCAGCCAGGAAGAGGAAAACAGGAGCCGACCTCCGGGCAGAGCCCAATGTAGACGACGGGCCTGCCCTTTAAACTGTTAAAGCCTGTCCATGGCTGTTTTTACGCACTTCCTCGGATTATTTCTTTTGTTTTTACTATTTACTGCTTTGTTGACGTCAGCCCCTCGGCATTGCACGTCGAGTGGCCATTTAAGGAGAGGCAAAATTGCCACCATTGCTTTGCAAAGTAAAGATAAATAAAGTTTAAATTACACAATTGAGTTGCAAGAAGTTGTTTCCCTTTTTGTTTAAAAATATTTTTTCAATTCGTGTGGCTATGTTTTAAAAATTTTTTTTTGTCCTTTTTTCTTTTACAGGTGATGAGCTGCAGTTTCCTACACCTGTCATAATTTGCAATTAAAGCACAATTTCTAACAGAATAAATAACTTACGCTTCTTTTTTTTTTTTTTGAGCAAGAGATCATCCATTACCTGGCTCCCATGCTGGCTGCCAGAGGTCCCTTCTTTTACACCCTCAGCCATGCCTGCCTCTACCAAAACAACTAGGAGACAGACACCTGCTCAGAGAAAAAATGCCAAGAAAGGGACCAGCATCAGGAGCCAAACCTTTAACTCCCACAAAACACCAGCAGAATCTACAAGGTCAACAGCAAGAGCCAATCAGACTAAGTCAGGCCGGAGTCCACGTGGAAGCGGGAAGGATCCAGGGGGGTCCCCTGGCAGAGGTCGCCACGCCGTAAATGTAACAGGATCTGCTCGTCTTAGACGGTCAAACAGTCTGCCCGACAACCCCCTCGGGCAGAGGAAGTCCCAAAGGGGAACGCAAGTGTCTGTTGCTCCCTGCCAGTCTCCTAAAGCGTGCACAGAAGGGAAAAACAGCAGGAGGGGGAGCAGAGGGAGAAGAGCTGCATCCAGACAACGAAATACAAGAAACAAGCCCTCAAGCATCCGCATCAACAATCCTTCTGATGGTGAAGAAAATGAGAAAACGGACAACAGAGAATCTCCCGGAATTCCTGATGAGGGTGGTGTTGAAGATGCAACAAATCTTGAGCCTAACGACGCTGCAGAGGGCAGCTCTAAAGCTGACGCTCATTATGACAATGTGCAGCACAGCTGTGTCAGTCTTAAAACTGAAGACAACACGTCTTTTAGCAATAATGGTGAATGTGGTTTAAAGCAAGCTGCTGTGGCTGCAGTTTGTGACAACAGTGATGGGCGGCAAGGGGATGGATGTGGAGATCATGCCTCTGGCCTCTCAGAGTTAACAGGCAGCGGCTCGTCGGATGCGTTGTGCAGCGTTGAGAAAGATGACACTTCATCTGTTCTTGGTAAAGAGTCTGAACATCTTGTCAGCAGTGGTAAGCAAGATGATGGGGACGCTGTCCAAGCAGAGGTGGGTGAAGAGCTGGACATGATAGCAAGCAGGACAGATGAAAGGGAGTTAGTGGCCACAGGAAAAGATGGGGAGAGCCCGGAAGCAGAGACGGGGGTTGAGAGGCCATCCGAAATGATAGAGAAGGAAGAAATTGCTGTGAAGATTGGTAGTGGCGAGAGTGAAGACCTTGAGGAAAAGGAGACCCAAACCAGCACTCCAATCTTTGAAAGAACTGATCCGCCGCATTGTAACCCACTTTCTGTCGAGTCGGAGTCACCTGTGCATGTATGCTCCAACACAGCTACCTCAAGTCCCGCCAAAGCTCTCTCTGCCTCAGATCCATGTGAGCTGAAGGTCGTAAGCCGGGAAAAGACCATTTTTCAACCTACAGTTGAAGGTGCTAAACCTTTATATGCAGGGTCCTCAACTATTCCTGATGCAGCTCTGAGCGTGCAGACTGTTATTGTGACTAGAAATACACCGGTCATTATCTGTCGGGAATCCCTGCAACCAAGGAGTCTGTGGGATTCTAACCGAAGAGAAAAATCCGCTACTGGTGGAGAGAGGCAAGCTTGCACACCCGCAGAGACCAAAGATGAATGTGACAAAATTACAGAGCAGCAAAGTGCGACGTCTTTCCCCTCCTGTTCACCACTTTCCGAAACTAACACCAAATCCATCGCAGGAACACAAGAACCAAACCTCATTGTGGTCGACGTTCAGTCAGCAATGCCAGAGTATGACCCAGTGCCAAAGATCGCGATTCCCTCTGTAGACAGCAGCTCCACTTTGTCCTACAGCTCGGAAAGCACACGCTCCTCGTTTTCCTGTGACACAGAGTCAGAGACAGGGTACGGGGAAGCCGGCCTCTCCGCTCTACCCGGATCCTGGCAGCCAGAGGGGACGGGCTCACTCTCCTACCCAGCTCTGAAACCACAGAGGAAGGGGAAGAAGAAGCGCAGCAGGTGTGGGGCGTGCGAGCCATGCCTCAAGAAGATTAACTGTGGCCAGTGCAGCTGCTGCCTCAATCGCACGACTGGCCATCAGATCTGCAAGCTTAGGAAGTGTGTGGAGCTAAAGAGGAGAAGGCCATCTGTAATCAGTCAATGTGACGTACAGGTAGGAAAAATAATACTCCTCACTGTTCCATCTGAATAACAAATTAGTCTTTCGTCAGACAAGGGATTTTTATAAAGGAAACTAAGTGAATTTCTGCAGACAATCCTTTGCTAACAGCTGATCTAAGGCGTTTATTCCCCAGTGGCGTTTCTGAGGTTTCCCACTTACTCATAACAGCAATGATCGACGGTTACCGAATGTGAAATAGCTCGCTTAGTGCTATCAGGTGGTGAGCACAGGACTTTGTGGTGTTGTCCTGTTAAATGTCACGGATAGTCACAGAGTGAAAGGGGAAGTGCTTGCCTGTGCATTTGTGTCTGGGAAATAGAGATCCGACTGTTAGAGGGGGGAGCCACATGACTGCTGGCAGTTCAGCACATGTTGAAAGTAAACCCTGCTTCACATGGCTGTGTGTGTCTGTGTGTGTCATCAGTGTTGCAATGGAGAGAGTAACTTTTAGCAGTGTGGTAAGAAAACCTTAAAAAACAAAGTTTTTATATATTGCACGAATTAATCATGAAAAGCAAAACACTGAAGAGAGAATATGTTGAATTTACAAACCATTCTCTCAGACTTAGTCTCCCACTCGGTTTATTTCAGGCTGACAGCCTTGATGAGATCAAGGCTTTGTGGCCATCTGCTGCAGTACTTCCTCTACTGCTTACTAGTCAAGATACTTCCTAATACCTTTACTTTCATGTAGTAGGTTGTTAACTCTACATGTTGCCTGTTCAATATTGATCTAACCCAAAGCTCTGCAAAGGTTGTTTCTCTATATGTAAAAATGTCAAATTTAACTAGTATAATTGCTATTTACTACACACACACACACACACACACACATATATATATATATATATATATATATATATATATATATATATATATATATATATATATATATATATATATATATATATATATATATATATATATATATATATATATATCTTATTGCATAAGATAGAATTTCCTCATTACTTACCCTTCTTTCGTAGTCATACAATAACCAATATCTATGAGGATTCCTACAGTAACATACTTTAAATGCCAACTTTGTTTTTCCTAATGTCTTAAGCTCATTTTGCTTTGCTTATCTGGGTTGGTCCTTTTGCGGATTTGTGTAGATATTCGTAACAAAAGATTAATTTGAAATAGCAAATCATAGCTTAATTAAATAGCTAAATTAAGCAGGGATACAAAATGTTCTTTAGGTATGAATGAAACATCTACTAAGTTGTTAAAAACACTCCTGGTTCCAATTGATGTGTGGATTTTAAAAAACCTCTTAAGGCACTTGGCTCCATATACTGTTAAAAAAGTTGGTTACAAGACAGCCGAAACTGCTTTGTTAGACACATTTTTTTGTAATAAACAAAACACAAATACAATTAATTTATAATTTTTTATCATTGGAATTTTATTTAATATTTCATATTGCCTTAGTGTTAAAAAGCTCATTCTGTCATGCTAAGGTTCAAAGTTCCCATGTGCTTTGAAAGAGAAATAGGCCCGCAGCATCACTGATCAGCCTATAATGATTAAACTTTATTGATCTCACATCGGAGAAATTTACCTCTGCATTTAACCCATCCCCTTGGGGAGCAGTGGGCTAACATCATGGGGCACAAGTGGCAGTCTGTGGGAGTGGGTTTCAAACTCACAACCTCAGGATTCCAAGCTCTATGCCCTAACCACTAGACCTCCAATTCCTACATCATTGAGCATATTAGATTTTTTACTCTAAACCGACTGGAGAAATTGATTCTAAAAATAACAATCTTGATGTCTGTCAACGAAAACACAGAGTTCCAGATTAAGGATCTAGAAGAGATTAGTAAATTCCACACAGTTATGATAGTGGAGCAGAACAGTTTTTTTTATCTTCTGGCATGCCTCCCGAGCAGCAAATGTAGCATATATACACATTTTATGCCTCATTCAACTCTTTACTTTGAGGCTCAACTTGATTGATAAAGTTTTTTTTTTAACCACTATGCTGTCAAGACATTGTGATGTGGCATTGCAATAGCAGTTCACGTCTTTTACCCTCGTTATCAAAAACAAAACAAAAGCATTCCTCACCAATAATATCTTTATAAAGGCCTTTTGTTAAAAGATACTGGTAGTAGCCACAGTAATAAAACATGTATTTGTATAAATAAATCTCTAACACATAAATAAATAGCTGTACACACTCTAGTGTGCATGCTCCTTTAGTCTTTGAATACACATATGGCTGAGCCTGTATTGCTAATTATAATTACCAGTGCAGGTCATTCCTAATAATAATGAGGATGTTCATTAAGGCCCCGTCCACACAAAGTCAAAACGAACACGAAACGCTAATATTTTCCAGAACGTTTGTCGTAAAGACGGAGACGTAAAATAAATGTGATCGTCCACACGAATGCATGAAAATGCTGCAAAATGTATGCCAGGCCTGTAAGTGGCGCTGTGGTGCCAAAGCAAAAATAGGCGACGAAATGTTGGGCATGCGCACTAATATTTATACATGGTTGCCCTGCGGGTCCATTTTCGTGGTTAAGTCAAATTCAGGTGCTGAACTATGTCGTCGATATTGCTCTGTTCTTCCTGGATATATTCCAGAAGAAGAAGATTCTGTTGTAAGCCCGACAGCAGGGTGAGTAGCATTAGCAGCAACGGCGCCATTGTTGTTGTGATACTGGTCGCGCATGCGTGTTTAGAGGCGACGCTATGACGCATGCGTGTAAAAAAAAATATGCGGTTAGAGCGTAAAGATGGAAACGCGAAAACGGCGTTTCGAAATCTTCCCACTCTGAAGGCTGAATAAAACAAAGATCGTTTACAGACCCCCGAAACGCCGGCTTCGTGTGGATGAGAGGCTGGTTTGGTGAAAAATTTGTGCGTTTAGGCCAGGGTTCGTCTTCGTGTGGACGGGGCCTAAGTATCTGGTAAAAAATGCAAACAGATCATGGTTGTGTTAAATTCTAGTTAATGGATATGAAGATGTTCAGTATTATACTTGTAGGGTTGCTTTTAATCACAGCTGCTTGGCATTTTAAATAGCTTTGGTGGTTCCCTACTTCTTCATCGTGATGGATTTAGATGGAAAAGAAGACTGAGCTACTCAGGAATGGATGCAGTAGGAGGTTTATTATTCAGCATAGACGCTGAATAGATTAAACATAGTACCAGTTGTGTTTTCAGTCATATCTTGCACCACTGTTTCCTATCTTGTTGACGAATTAGCGAAAGTAAAAAAAAAAAAAAAAAAAAAAAAAAAAGAAAAGCTTGAGTTTTATCTGTACTGCTTTCTGAATGAACCAGCGCCGGTTCAGGATTTTAGTTGATATGAAAAGTCAGTCAGTCGTTCACCCTACAATCTAGATCAGGGGTCTACAACCTTTTAAATCTAAAGATCCATTTTGCCTTCAATCCAGTCAAATAAAGTGGTTTAGAGACACATGTTTTAAATGAGCTTCTGATAAAACTAAATTTCTTATTTTGAGGTAAATATCTGTTATAGGAACTCTGTTGCTATTTATCTGTATTTTTTAAGTACATGGATTTTCTCCTATAGGATGTTGATATTTTTGGAAAATGATGTAAAAGAAAAACATAGTTTCCAAAATGATACCAAAAACAAATCTAAAAATGTATTAAAGGTATATTGGAGGATGTTCTTTTTCCGGGTCGATCATCAAAATAAGTGGTCCTCCTAATTGCCAATCATTCTGGTGATTTACGTAAGGCCGTCCTACGTGCTCATCCGCATTTTCACCTACCGGTGGTGAGTCTGAAAAAGCTGAACAATTGCAAATCTTCTTCAGGAAAGTTAGCTTGTATAAGTGATGTGAACAGCAACTTTTAAACAGAGCGTGCACGAGGAGAAATGGGCTCGTTCATGCTTTCACACGCGTTTAATAGACGCTCCCTCTTGGGACCGGGTTTAGGGTTGTGGATGTGCATTTTTTTTTTAAGTGGAGAGAGCGGTCTTTTCAAAAATCTATGAAAATCTTCCACTATAGCTTTAATGTTTTTTTTTATGTCACCCTTTTGGGAAAATGAGACTCAGGAATCATTTGAAAAACTTAATAAAGCTTCCAACGGGGGCATATGGTATTATAACGTATGTATGATCTTTTGTTGGTTCTTTATAATTTTAGCCACTAATAGGAGCCATTATAGAGGATTAAAAAAGTGACTTCTTTCTCCGGAACCAAAAAGACACCAGTGCTTTCAATATACCAAATAGCTACTTGTTGCCACAAACTCCTGATGTGGAGACTCTTTTTTTTAGGCTGGTTAAAAATGAATACTACTTAAAAAGAAAATATAAAATAGAACTCAAGGTGAGTCTTTCCCAAATGTATACATCAAGTTTCTCGAAAAACCTTGAGCTCGACCTGATCTTAATGCTTTAACTGCATTGTCAACCTCCAACCTGCATTTCACTGAGCAAATAGTCAAACCATTTGGTTGGCCACATAGTTAAGGTTTTTTTTTTTTTTTTTATTCCCAGATATTTATCCTCAATAAGTTTCCATTAACTGAAAAGATATGGGTTACAATGCAGCATATTTTTAGAATCTTTTTCCCACACTGTTTACATTTGATCACTGCTCCACATTAGGAAATGGAAATTTTATGAAATTTGTAGAAAACGAAATTTCGTTTTGTAAACACTGTGTATACAAAATGAAAATAAAAGTTGTGTAAGTCTAAATTGGAAATTGGAAACTGGGGGTAATGACGGGTGTTTGCACAGTTCACCGTTGTTCGTGTGCCCTTGAGAGGTCTGCATGGATGTGGAAATCCACGTGTATGCTGTATACAAATGTAGACACGTGGACGTAGTGAGTCATCAGAGTTGTAGCAGTGACAGTAGCAGATTATGGCTGATTATATAACTGCTGCTTGGTTGTTTAATGTTATTTTTTTAGGAGGGGACCTTTGTCCACTATGTTAGAATAAACTAGGACTGATCAGGACTGATCAGCCAATGTTAATGCTGC